TCTAAGCTACCTCCCCACCAAATTTCATCCAAATTGGTTCAGCCGTTCTTGAGTTATAAATATTCTAACATTTTTCACGACTTTCTTTTATATATATACTAGCGGATGTACCCGGCTTCGCCCAGGTTTTTCTCGAGGGAATGTTTGTAGTCTAGTAATAAGAAAATATACTACACCTAAAAACTATCAGAGAAAAGAGAAACCACGGAAGGTGAACAGAAAAATGCTTACAATGGATGTTATGTTTACGATATCAAGTTAAATAGAAACAAAGATAAAATTTGCATATGTTGGTCACTATAAATTTGTATATTTGTTAGGCGAAATTAGAAACATGATAAAACAATTGGGTATTTAAAAACAAATGTAGAAATAAGGGTTGAAGTATAATAAACAATGTTAAAGATTAGTTTTAATTATTAATCAAGATTGTGTGTGAATATGTGAGAAAGATGTAATATCGTTGTTGTTTTCTTGGCCGACTGTTTTACATATGGTGTTATCTTAAAATTGCTTGTTTTGAATATTTTTTAGATTGAGATTATTAGCTAGTATGTAAAAAAATTAACTCTGTTGAAATTTAATTTTGTATTTATATATAAATAAAATTAACTCTGTTGATTTTTTTTGTATTTAATCGATAACAGCGAAGTTACGCATGTTAATGTTAGGGAAAAATATTTTGATGTTAAGCAAAACCTGCTCCATCTCGTTTTACATAAATGTTGAAAATTTGGTTGAAATTGATGCATTGTAACGGAAGTTTTTAGTGATGTACACTTATGAAATTTGCATTTTATTAATATAGATATTAATTAAATCAAATACCTAAACACTAATATAATACAATTTTTGCCATCACACACACTTTTTTCCTGTAGTTTATGTGTTACTTCTGTATTGCTATTCTATGGCACTTCTAATATTTATTATTGATATACTTTTAGTATGTATGAAGGAAATTGCACCCAAGGGATTTCTCGGGCGAAGCCGGGTCATTCGCCTATTCAATAATAAATATCAGAAGTGCCATAGAATAGCAATAGAGAAGTAACACATAAACTACAGGAAAAAAGTGTGTGTGATGGCAAAAATTGTATTATATTAGTGTTTAGGTATTTGATTTAATTAATATAGTTGATATAATAGTATATATTTATGTTATATTTTTTATAAATGAGTTTTAAAAATTGTAAAAAAAAAATGCATCGGCCGGGAATCGAACTCGGGCCGCCCGCGTGGCAGGCGAGCATTCTACCACTGAACCACCAATGCTTTTAAAAAATGGCCATATTTAGATATTCATTTCATTCCGGATTAGTCCGCGTAAAAAAAGTTCTTCAAATTAAAAAAAAAGAAATTACAAAACTATTTTAGAGGCGTAATATTATTTTAAAAATAAAACAATTTCTACTGTCCTTACTGCGATTGTTTTATTTTAAAAAGAATATAACGCTTCTACAATAGTTTTGTAATTTGATAACAGATGGCGCGCTAGTGCATCGTAAAAAAAAGAAATAGCCAAAAATACTAATCAAAATGCAGCCGAAAATTTCCTCAGGTTTATAAAAAGCGACATGCCAAATTTGGTAGCAATTGGTTCAGTAGTTTTTGAGTTTATCGCGAAACAGACAGAAAGACAGACAGAAATTCACTTTTATATATATAGAGATAGAGACTAGCGGACGTACCCGGCTTCGCCCGGGTTTTACCCGAGTAAAGGTTTGTCTAACGAACATTTGTTAAAACAATTCTCTATAAACTTATAAAAAAAATAATAGATATATTTTGATAATTTGAAAATCGTAAATTTGAATCTCTCGATAAAGTGAACATTTTTTCCCGGTCCCTGTGTGCCGTGTCATCCTGAATTTTGTCTTTCCTAATTTTCTACATTACAAAATCATCGTTTTATCTAGTGAACATATTTTCCCGGTCCCTTGAAAAATACTAGATAAGTTGAATAAAATCAATATTAATTGGTTCCCTCGGGAATTGGAAGTTAAAGGAATAGTATCTTTGCTTTGGAATTGTATCATTATTCTTGTCTCAAATAAATTGCCGTGTCATCCTCAATTTTGTCTTTCCTAATTTTCTACATTACAAAATCATCGTATCATCATGATAATATTTAGAGCAGATTGTTGAATTATAACAGATAAATTAGAATTAGAATATTTATCTTGATTATTTTAAGGCGAAAAGTTTTTTCAAAAATTTTATTTGCTAGAAACCTTCCCAGTACAATACTAAACAACCTTCCAAAGTTTCACGGTATCATCATTATCATAATATTCTGTGTGTTCCGGATAATATTCGTTAGGCAAACTTTCACTCGGAGAAAACCCGGGAAAAGCCGGGTACACATCCCCTAGTATATTATTAATATATAATCAAAAATGCAAATATTTTATTTAAAAAAACATGTATTTTATTTTCATAATTGACTATTCTTTTATTTTTGACAAAATATATTTTAAATACTTTTTGAATATTGTTGTAAATATGTATAGTTGACCTACATATTTTTTAATTAACGAATATATAATTCATTTTATAAATTCCATATTACTGTGAAAAATAATTTTATGTGTAATTTGCTTCAAATGATTCAAAATGAAAACTACTTGATGGGTAAATAATTATCTTTCATATTTTTACGACTGCACATTCAATTCTCTATCTTTTTCAACAACAAAACAAAATAATCATAATATATGTATATTTATTTATTTATATATGAAAAGATAGTACAAATATAATGTTTTTTTTTTTCTTAATATATATATATATATATATTAGCGGATGTGTACCCGGCTTCGCCCGGGTTTTATCCGAGTGAAAGTTTGCCTAACGAGTATTATATATTATGAAGTATAATAAACAATGCTAAAGATTAGTTTTAATTATTAATCAAGATTGTGTGTGAATATGTGAGAAAGATGTAATATCGTTGTTGTTTTCTTGGCCGACTGTTTTACATATTGCGTTATCTTAAAATTGTTTGTTTTGAATATTTTTTTTAGATTGAGTTGAATGAATTGCTGAATTTTTTTTTGGATTTATATATAAATAAAATTAATTCTGTTGATTTTTTTGTATTTTATCGATAACAGCAAAGTTATGTATTTTAAAGTTAGGAAAAATATTTTGATGTAAAGCAAAACCTGCTCCATCTCGTTTTACATAAATGTTGAAAATTTGGTCGAAATTGATGCATTGTAACGAAAGTTTTTAGTGAACACCACTTATGAAATTTCCATTTATATAGAAGATATAATATAATATAAATGAGTTTTAAAAATTGTTAAAAAAAATGCATCGGCCGGGAATCGAACCCTGGCCGCCCGCGTGGCAGGTGAGCATTCTACCACTGAACCACCGATGCTTTAAAAAAATCAAATTCATTTATCGTCGCGACCAGTGCTGCGCCCTAGCGGTAAAAGACTGGAACTAACGCTTTTTGGTTTTTTATTTTTTAAAAAAAGCACATTAACTTTTTAGTTTTTTGAATAGCCTATATGTTAAACGAAATCTTCAGCTACCTACATGCGAAATTCCATAATAATTGAGTCAGTAGATTTTGCGTGATGCGATAACAAACATCGATTTCGCATTTCATTTTTATATATATATACTAGCGGATGTGTACCCGGCTTCGCCCGGGTTTTATCCGAGTGAAAGTTTGCCTAACGAATATTATATATTATGAAGTATAATAAACAATGCTAAAGATTAGTTTTAATTATTAATCAAGATTGTGTGTGAATATGTGAGAAAGATGTAATATCGTTGTTGTTTTCTTGGCCGACTGTTTTACATATGGTGTTATCTTAAAATTGCTTGTTTTGAATATTTTTTTAGATTGAGTTGAATGAATTGCTGAATTTTTTTTGTATTTATATATAAATAAAATTAACTCTGTTGAATTTTTTTTGTATTTTATCGATAACAGCAAAGTTATGTATTTTAAAGTTAGGAAAAATATTTTGATGTTAAGCAAACCCTGCGCCATCTCGTTTTACATAAATGTTGAAAATTTGGTCGAAATTGATGCATTGTAACGAAAGTTTTTAGCGAACACCACTTATGAAATTTCCATTTATATAGAAGATATAATATAATATAAATGAGTTTTAAAAATTGTTAAAAAAAAATGCATCGGCCGGGAATCGAACCCTGGCCGCCCGCGTGGCAGGCGAGCATTCTACCACTGAACCACCGATGCTTTAAAAAAATCAAATTCATTTATCGTCGCGACCAGTGCTGCGCCCTAGCGGTAAAAGACTGGAACTAATGCTTTTTGGTTTTTTATTTTTTAAAAAAAGTACATTAACTTTTTTAGTTTTTTGAATAGCCTATATGTTAAACGAAATCTTCTGCTACCTACATGCGAAATTCCATAATGATTGAGTCAGTAGATTTTGCGTGATGCGATAACAAACATCGATTTCGCATTTCATTTTTATATATATATACTAGCGGATGTGTACCCGGCTTCGCCCGGGTTTTATCCGAGTGAAAGTTTGCCTAACGAATATTATATATTATGAAGTATAATAAACAATGCTAAAGATTAGTTTTAATTATTAATCAAGATTGTGTGTGAATATGTGAGAAAGATGTAATATCGTTGTTGTTTTCTTGGCCGACTGTTTTACATATGGTGTTATCTTAAAATTGCTTGTTTTGAATATTTTTTTAGATTGAGTTGAATGAATTGCCGAATTTTTTTTTTGTATTTATATATAAATAAAATTAACTCTCTCGAATTTTTTTGTATTTTATCGATAACAGCAAAGTTATGTATTTTAAAGTTAGGAAAAATATTTCGATGTTAAGCAAAACCTGCTCCATCTCGTTTTACATAAATGTTGAAAATTTGGTCGAAATTGATGCATTGTAACGAAAGTTTTTAGCGAACACCACTTATGAAATTTCCATTTATATAGAAGATATATAATATAATATAAATGAGTTTTAAAAATTGTTAAAAAAAATGCATCGGCCGGGAATCGAACCCTGGCCGCCCGCGTGGCAGGCGAGTATTCTACCACTGAACCACCGATGCTTTAAAAAAATCAAATTCATTTATCGTCGCGACCAGTGCTGCGCCCTAGCGGTAAAAGACTGGAACTAACGCTTTTTGGTTTTTTATTTTAAAAAAAAGCACATTAACTTTTTTAGTTTTTTGAATAGCCTATATGTTAAACGAAATCTTCAGCTACCTACATGCGAAATTCCATAATGATTGAGTCAGTAGATTTTGCGTGATGCGATAACAAACATCGATTTGGCATTTCATTTTTATATATATAAGGAAGAATATATATGTGATATCTTGGGACCTCTGGGACCAGTGTTACCTGATGCTAGACAAACCTCGATGTCACCTCTGCCGTGCAGTCGTGGTGAAAGGCGACACGGTTGGGCCAAAGTTGGAATACACAAACAGAGATTCCACGAAGAAGTGTCTGAACGTCAAGAAGGAATGGGACGAGGAGGCAGGAAAGGATTACCTCTATAGGAGCGGACTGGGGCTGAAACAAAGACTGGCTAACTGAGGCTTGGGGCCTCCTTTTATAGCTTCCCTGGGTCCAGTTACATCACCCAGGAGGACCATGACGTCGTAAAAATTGGACTGGGCTCGATAGGCCTACTTTCTTATTCTCACTTATGCCTGATTAATTTTAGCCTTAATTTTCTCTCCTGTTATTCTCCATTCCTTCTATCTGTACAGTTGCTATACTTTATTAGAGTCTTATGCGGTACAGATTTATGTTATTTGATGATTTCTATTTGCAGTAAATAACGAGTTATATACAGTCACATAATGAAATATGTGGTAGTAGATATCTCGATTATTTACAACAATTCAATGGTCTTAAATCATCATATATATAGTTTTTTAAACCAACAACCCCATATTGTATATAACTTAAAACAAGATTTTCATGTATAATTGAAACACATCTGTAAATGATTATACGCATTATTGACATGTGTCATTACATCATCATATGTATTCTACTTTGTACAAACTGAGGATAAATAAATAAAACTATGTAATAGATTGAGAGTTGAGCTAAAGCAAAAGGTCAAAAACGTCTTAAATCGAGATAGATTTAGAATTCCCACAAAAAGGTCTAAAGATGGAAACTGCCACGGCGCCAGTTTAGAATTTCGCCAGACGATCCACGCTCTCCGCATCTGCTGAAATGCAATACTCCCTTTCTCGGAAAAGATATAAAAGGCCTCCGTCCTAGCCAAAAATACAGTCACTTGATAGTCACTTGACAGTCACTTCACCCTCAGCGGAAGCCCTCGTCGGTTGTCACCAAGTTCCTCCTCATCCACCATATAGACTAGTAAGAACTCTTCTATCTCCATCTTTCGCTCCTAGGTCAACTTTTATCTGTTCACGGAACTTTCTTAGTGCAACTTTGTCTTCGTTATTTTGTGTGGACATTCCCAAGCTTTCCACTCTGCCTCGAACACGATTGCTTGTACTCTGTGAGAACTGTTAAAGGTCTCCCAAGGTGCAGAGAGGTACTGGAAAACTCTCCACGCCTTGACTGTCCCTCTCGGTTACTACAGGTTTGCCCCTTTCGGTTACCATACCACAGCGAGAGACCTTCGGTTACCACATATATATATATATATAAAGCATATTTCTGAGATTTTTCTCTCTTCAAACGTTACGTCAAATGGTAGAACTGAGAATCTTAATATAAAAACCTAATTTCGAAACCGGATGTTGGTGCTCTTCCCTGCATTGGAAGCCACCACCACCACATATGGAATTACCATATACAAAAATAGAGCAATCCATACTTAATTTATTAGATAATAAAAGGCATATATTGGATTTAATAAAATATTTATTTTGCCAATATTTCGGCAATAACCTTTTATTATCTAATATATATTTATATATATTCGTGGATGGCTTTTCTTGACTCAAGAAGCCTCTGGGAGCAAAAATCTTTTTGGTGGCAGTGGTTACAGCCTACTCCACGCTGACGAGCGCCAACAGAGCGAAATGCGTTCGTGGATGGCTTTTCTTGATTTATCAAGAAATTGGGTTGATCTAATATCACGGAGCAGGCTAAATAAACGTTTAGTTTAATTTTGCTACACTAGATGGCGCTCTGCCATCTAAAAGGCACATGCTCGTGGTCAGGAAATGCCTTCTTTATTTTTAATATATATATATATATATATGTGATATCTTGGGACCTCTGGGACCAGTGTTACCTGATGCTAGAAGAACCTCGATGTCAACTCCACCGTGCAGTCGTGGTGGAAGGCGACACAGGTAGCCCAAAGGTGAAATAAGCAAACAGAGATTCCACTTAGAAGCGTCTGACTTCAAGAAGGAATGGGACGAGGAGATTTCTGGCAGGAACGGGTTTACCTTTTATCGGAGCGTCTGACGCACTGGGGCTGAAACAAAGACTAACTAAGGACTGGCTAACTGAGGATCGGGGCCTCCATGCAGGCCAATGCTCTTTTCTGACTTAAACAGGGGGGGGAAGTTTTATTATTCAGGAGGGCCACGACTTCGTAAAAGTTGGACTGGGTTTGCTAGGCCTGCTTTTCTATTCAAACCTAAGCCTGATTAGTTTTAACCTTAATTTTCTCCTGTTAGTCTCCATTCCTTCTATCTGTAATTGCTATACTTTATTAGATTCTTACGCGGTACAGATTGATGTTACTTGAGGCTATCTATTTGTAGTAAATAATAATTTATATACAGTCACGTGGTGGAACTGGTGGTAGTAGATATCTGGACTATTTACAACAATTCCATGGTCTTAAATCATCACAGATGGCCCCGGATGTGAGAGGGTTCATATGGAGGGATTTAAGAGAGCGGAAAAGGAAGACTGTTATTAAGAAAGTAATTTTTAAAAATTAATTGAAATGCGTTGGTATATAACATGGGGTTGATTTCTGTATATCCATAAGAGATAATAAAGTATAAACAACTGATACTAAACATATAAGTAAAAACAAAAATAGGAATAAAAGATTTAATAGAGAACATATAATGATGATAGGTAAAAAAATAAATGATTGGATGGGTAAGTCATGATCTCTTCGTGATGGGCTTTAGAAAGGGTTGAGGGGTTATTTGTGATTAGGTTGAGGCAATGGCACCTTGACTCAAGTCCCAAACCATTTAATGTGCACGGCGCGGAAAACCTAGGCCATGTTTCACATGTAAATGTAAGGACCTAATAAAGTTACAGTACCACAATCGAATAGTAAGATAAGGGTGATTGTTATGGGTCTTAATAATTAGTCGTTAAGACGTACGCATGCAGGATAAATGAGGGCGAAGATCAGTGACCAGAAATCAAAGTTTTAATTGGAGTCATCAGGGGCTTAGCGCGAAAAAGAGTAAAAAAAAAGATGTGCCCTTTGCCCTTTGCACGTGTCCAAGCCAGAAGTTGGGATAGGTAAATCTGGGGAAAGGTGTTTCAATATTGTTAATTACGAAATCAAAGTAGGTCAAGTCTAGCCTGCGAAGGAGTTAAAAGTTCCTGCGTGAAAGGAATGTTAGTATTTATTGAGAAGTAACCTTTAAAGTGGTTGATTAAGAGGTTATTGAAGATTGCCCTGTTTTTAGATCATGATTTTTAGTTTGATTATAAAAGAATATATCATTGAGATATGAAATCGCGAAATTAAGGCTTTGCATCTAGCGTTAAAGGGTTTGAAAAATCGAAAATAGAATTGCGAAGTTAAATGCAAAGTAATCTTTTAAAAAAAGAGTAAAAATAGTGATGACATAATACAAAGATTAACACACTATAGCAGTATATAAGGGGCAATAGAAAGTGAAAATATTAAATGACAAAAAAATGAGCAATAATATACTTGTGATAGCATTGAACATGGTAGCGGAAGATGAAACAATTTAAAAAACATCTAATTTATAAAGTGAGAGAAAATATAAAATGACAAATGCAAATTAGTGATATAAACATGAAACATAAACTTGAGATTATTAGAGATGAAAATAAAATATAAAGTTGATTATAAAATAGAGTCATAAAGCAAAAGTAAATAAGCTTTGGTAAAGAAAAATAAAATAAAATGACACTAATCTAAACTGATTGGTTGACGTAAATAAAAAAACAATTATAAGAGCTATATAATGATTATATACAATAATTAAAATGAAAATAATAAAAAATGTTCATCGAGAAAGAAGAGCAAGTAAGATTATACATATAAATTATATATCGGGAAAGAATGGGAAGTAGTAGGCCAAATGTATGTTCCTGTTTTTTAGAATGGGTAGAGAGAGCTTTAAATTGTCCTCGATTGATATCTTTGGTCTTGTTGGCCTAAGTTGTTCTAACTTATCGAATTTTGTTTTATGTTTGACGCGACTCGTGGATCACATTGTTTCCAACTGTGAAACTCACTGAGTCCTAATGTTGTCGATTTTTTGTTCCCTGCGCCACGTTTAGGTGAAAACGTGATTCTTCCTAAAGCGGTATTTATATTGTTTGTGCAGGAAGCACGGCGATCTATTCTAACCGATCAAGGGTTGTTGTTGTTTTTTTTTTAAACATATGTGGGTGTGTGTGATTTTTGTAGGTAAAATGTTGTCCTTGGATCTAAGTGTCGATGTTAAGTAGACAAGTTAATTGAGGGCGAGAGAATCTAGACCTGGTGACTTAGTTTTGGGCCATTAATAAAAAATAGATATGTTAATTCATTGGGGTTCAGTAGGCGGGATTAGTTATTAATTTAATTAGTTATTCTGTTAGTGGGCTGATTTGTTCGTAAATGTAAAATAACGTGTTAGGCAAGTTATTAGTAGTTAAACGGGATATTGGAGTAGAATAATGGGTTAGGGATTAGAACGATATATAGTAAAAGGCATGCACTAATATTTGATTTCATAGCTGGTGAACATTCATTAGAGTGACACCGGGCAATAATGATGGGTCGTAACAAGAACATGTCGGCTGTTTGTTTGCTCGTGTCCAGCGGAAGAGGAGGGAGCGAATCTATTTTGGGTGCGATTCCGGATTTAGGTCAGAAGCCTCT